AACAGCAGAGAGCAGGGGAGCAGCGGAGAGGGGGGGAACAGCAGAGAGCAGGGGACAGCAGAGAGGGGGGGAACAGCAGAGAGGGGGGGAACAGCAGAGAGCAGGGGAGCAGCAGAGAGGGGGGGGAACAGCAGAGAGCAGGGGAGCAGCAGAGAGGGGGGGAACAGCAGAGAGCAGGGGAGCAGCAGAGAGGGGGGGAACAGCAGAGAGCAGGGGAGCAGCGGAGAGGGGGGGAACAGCAGAGAACAGGGGAACAGCAGAGAGGGGGGGAACAGAAGAGAGCAGGGGAGCAGCGGAGAGGGGGGGAACAGCAGAGAGCAGGGGAGCAGCGGAGAGAGGGGGAACAGCATAGAGCAGGGGAGCAGCAGAGAGGGGCGGAACAGCAGAGAGGGGGGAACAGCAGAGAGCAGGGGAGCAGCAGAGAGGGGGGGAACAGCAGAGAGCAGGGGAACAGCAGAGAGGGGAGGAACAGCAGAGAGGGGGGGAACAGCAGAGAGCAGGGGAGCAGCAGAGAGGGGGGGAACAGCAGAGAGGGGGGGAACAGCAGAGAGCAGGGGAGCAGCAGAGAGGGGGGGAACAGCAGAGAGGGGGGGAACAGCAGAGAGCAGGGGAGCAGCAGAGAGAGGGGGAACAGCAGAGAGCAGGGGAACAGCAGAGAGGGGAGGAACAGCAGAGAGGGGGGAACAGCAGAGAGCAGGGGAGCAGCAGAGAGGGGGGGAACAGTAGGGAGTGGAAAGAATGGAAGGAATAGGACGGGGCAGACAAAAAGCCGTACAATCTTGAAACCCAAAGATTAAAACCCTTCCTCCTACTCAGCATTCCCACTCTCCCAGCCTTTTGATCCCCATTTCCTTGCCTTTTGTTCCCCCTCTCCTTGCCTTTTGTTCCCCTCTCCCTGTCCTTTGTTCCCCCTCTCCCTGCCCTTTGTTCCCCCTCTCCCTGCCCTTTGTTGCCCCTCTCCCTGCCCTTTGTTGCCCCTCTCCCTGCCCTTTGTTGCCCCTCTTCCTGCCTTCCCCCTTTCCATGTCCCCTTTCTCCCTGCCCTCCACATTTCCCTGTCCCTTTTCTCCCTGCCTTCCCCATTCCCCTGCCCCTATCTCCCTGCCTTCCTCACTCCTCTCCCCCTCATTTGCCTCTCCTCCCCCCTTCATTCCACTCGCCTTTTCCCCCCACTCCGCGCTCCTCTCCCCCCCATTCCGCTCTTCTCTCCCCCTCTTTTCCACTCTCCTCTCCCCCTCATTCGGCTCTCCTCTTCCCCTCATTCCACTCGCTCTCCCCCTTCCACTCTCCTCTCTCCCTCATTCCGTTCTCCTCTCCCTCTCTTTCCCCGGCTCGCCCGCCTCGTTCTCCCAACCGTTCAACCTCTTTCCATGATCCGTGCTCCTGTTTCTCTCATCCCGCCCACCCATCTTCCTCTTCCGCTGTTATCCCCATTTCGCATCCCCCCTTTTAGCTTTTCGCCGTCCCGAAATCCCCCTATTCGAGCACCTCTTTGGGCCGTACTCTGGAGAATAGGGGAAGGGACGGATCCTCAACACTAGTGCTAACTGGACGCCGTGGACTAAGTTCTCGCGCAACTGGCGGGCCACGGCGTCGAGGGAGGGGCTCACTATGCTTCACGAAAGGGACGCTAACTTCTGGGCGGTCTTGCCCACGTGTTGCTAGCCGTGTTACAAGCACCCGTGGCTTGCTGCCTAATAGTCTACGCGAGCTAGGGTTGTCAATAGGGACGGTTTGGCTCCCTATAATGCTTCCACCCCGTATTGCCGCCGCTACTGCACGAGATGGGGTCTTTTCTCGCTTCTAAAGGGTCACGCGCACGCGGGGGACTACTCCTGCTTGTCCTCGCGCTGGACGATTTTTAAGAGCGTGGAATTTTGGCAGGAGCTGCTCTAAGCTAGCGTAGGTGACGGGGTCTTCAACGTTTGGAAAGCAATAGCACACCTGGGGCTCACTTGAAAGTCTGCCTGGATGGCGGGTTGTCGCAAGGACTTAGTTTTGGTTGAGCATTGCAACCCTTGAGTTTATCGCGGGGTGCTAAACAGGGGGGTTACGATCCGCTTTGCACCGTCATCCAATCACCTCGCGCTGCAAAATCGCAGCATTCGTTTTTTCGCGTGGGGGTAGGTGTACCACTGGAAAGTGGGCTCTTTCCTCTGACCCTAAAAAAAACTAGATTTTCAAGTGCACCCCCCCTTTGCTATTCTAGCCTGTGGTTTTAATGGCCAAAATGTTATAAAATGATGGAGAGAAAATGGTGAAATCAGGACTCTGATTGATACCTGCGAACCCTGAAAAAAATATAATTTTTTAACACACGTTGTGTTTTTCAAGAATTGTGTATTGTGAAAGCGAAGCTGATTGTACTGAAGCTTTGGGCATCGTCGAAGCGCGCTACTCACCCTTCTCCAATTACATATACGTGGGTTGGAGCTCATTTACCTCCACACACGTCTCTCATTTTTCAAACGGCTCAGTCAACTTTCCCCCTCTAGCTTTTCTCCCGTTCAAGCTGGCTAAGACTAGAACTTTGCCTCGCGGCGAGTCTCCCTCGACTCTTCTTTCCGATATTTTTAAGTTTCACCAATCCGTCATGGCTCCGACTACGAATAATCGCGGCGAGTCCAACGTCGTCACCGGCCACCCCAATTCTGAGTCTACTCGCCAAGCCCCGGAAATTGCGGGCGACCGGCGTAACAAGCGTCGGGCAGAAGAAGGGCGGCTGCCCCAACTGGGGTTGACGTTCTTCTGGGAGGGGGCGAGGTCAACAATCAGCCTGTTGACGCGCCCCCGCCCCCTTCCGAGCCACACGCGCAAGTGGCTGAGCAGAGCCAGCCACTCGCGCGTGACGCCGAGCAGCAGCACGCGCAAGCCCCCCAAGTGGCGGGTCCTGCTCGCCAGCGCAAAAGGGGGCGCGCGGCTGCCTCGTCTGACGTGCCGCCCACCCCGACATTGACCCCGTCGTTGACCCCTGCACAGGTCAACGCGCTGTTGACGCTGTTACAGCAGCAGGCGACGAGTGTTACGGCCGCCGAAACTGCTCAACCTGCTGCTTCTGAATCTGCTAAAAAAGAACCTGCAAAAACAGAAAAGGCCACACGCGGAACCAAGACGCCACGCCTCGCCAAAGACGCCGTCGCCAGCATCCCGCCTACCCCGGTGGCCGACAACGACAGCGACGACTCCGACAACGACGCTGGTGAGGTTCCCGGCATTGCTGCAAATTCAATTCCCATGGAGCACCTCCCACCACTCCCGACCACTAACACCACCCTCTCGGCGGCGTTCTTCCTCAACACGGCTGTGCGCGAGCAAGCGGAAGTCCTGGAGGACCTTCGGGCATACCTGAAGCACGCCGAGTTCAAGATGCAGCACGGCGACGCGCCGGGCGGCCTCGAATTCCTCGCCGACGCGCTCGCCCTCATATCGCGACGCTTCGAAGTTCTCCAAGTCGAAGACGCCTCCGACTTCTGCACGGCCAAGCGTTTCAAGCTGTACCAGCAGAAGAGTCTGCTTACCTCAAGGCCTTTCAAACAGGCCGTCGCTGACGTGGCTGCAATGGACCGCGCTGAGGGCGGGTTTGCTCGTGGCAATCGCGGAGGCGGTCGCATGCCCATGCCGTTCGTGCCAAAGCGTGGTCCGCCACCTACGGGAGAATTCCGTGGCTTCCGAGGCACTTGCTTCCGCTGTGGCCAGCCGGGGCATGTGGCCAGCGGCTGCCCGGCGATTGGGCATGGTGGCCAAGGACCCGCACCAGTGTTTTAGGGGTCGGGCCATGGGCGCTTGCGCAAGTGGCGCAAGGCGCAAGGCACCCGGTGTGTGTGTAGGCCATTGGGCCCACCCCTTAGGGGCACGGGTGGCAGAGGGCCAGCCCTAGTGTAGGCCAATTGAAGGCCCTAGGCTCAGAGCAAGGGAAGGGGAACATACCCCCTCGGTCCCAAATGATAGCCCGACCTTGCAAGGCGGACTTTGCATGCCTAGGAGCATGGTTGAGTAGAGATGAAGCTTGGTTAAAATAAGGAGCCGCGGTCCTCCGTTTTTTTCAGGTCTTGGTCCCTAAATATAACCAGGGAAATGGGGAAGCAGCACCAAAAGAGGCGCAGCAAAAAAAAAACAAAAAAACAAAAAAAAGGATCGAGCACGAAACGGGGAAGCATAGTGGGTGGCTCAACCCTCGCTACAGGTCATGCAGCACCCCCGGCCACTGAAGGTAGGCCATCAGGAACACCAATGGCCCTCCACTTACCCTCACATAGTTGCTCGTCGATTGGACATGCAAAAAAAAAAAAAAAAAAAAAAAAAACAGAATTCAAGCATTATGCGAGCCTCACGAGGCGCCTACCCTCCAACCGGGTGTGCTAGACCCTGGACCCCAAGCATTACCCCTCCGTGGGCATACAGGAACAGCCACACCAACCTCATCCAGGGCTGCCCAGCTTGGCATTGGAAAAAAAAAAAACAAAAAACAAAAAGTCACAGAAGCATGCGCGCACGCACGCGGTATGGCCCACGAACAGGAACAGCAACAAAAACACCGCACGCATGCCACACAAGCATGCAAGAGGTGACTAGAGGAAAGACAGGAAAAAATCACGGGCGTTGAGTCTCAAAACCCAAGAAATGAGAACGCAAGTGAAAGAGGCAATAGAGGGTAACATGCGTTCGCGAGTAGAAGCGCGAGAGAAGGCACAAGTTGTGGGAATATGAGGGCCAAAAGGGAAGGACAATAAGCGGAAACTCATGCACAAACGTCGGGACGCAGGTTCGAACGCAAGCTCGGCATGCGCGGACGCGCAAATCGACATACACGCAGGTCACGCCGCTCAGACTCGCTCAAAGCGCAGGCAACCACCGAACCTAAGCATCTTGCTCGCATGTGGCACCTCTGTCCTGCACGCCCTCCTTAGCCACTAGGCTTCACACTCCCCCCCCCCCCATGCTCTAGGTTTCCGGCAGGCCTCAGCCCTGCAGATAAACTTAAGGATTCATCCCTTGCTTCTCCCTGCATGACGTCACTCCCACAAGCACCCGACTTCGCGAATGCGCACACAACAGTGACCCCTACGAATACGCAGTTACTGAAAAGATGGTCACCCAAATGTGTGGCCGCCTACGTACCACGTTCGCTTGGTGGAGCTCGTGGTGCACTAGCAGTTTCATACTCTCAGTCATTGCCAAAGGATACTGGATGCCATGGAAACTCGGGCCGCCGCCGGCCTTTCACGATCGCAACCATGCCAGCGCACGCATCCACGAAGCATTCACGCGTACGGCCATCCTTGAACTCACCGAGATCGGCACGGCCATCCAAATTCCTGCGGCGAAACTGAGATGCATAAGCCCACTCCACGTGGTCGAGCAGAAAGACAAGTGTCGCCTGATTCAGGATCTCCGAAAGGTGAAGGACGCACTAATCGTCCCCAAATTTAAATATGAGGGACTCAACCGTGTAGCGGACCTTGCTCGCCAAGGGGACTGGATGTTCTCCATCGACTTGAAATCAGGCTATCACCATGTCGACATCCATCCCTCGTGCTGGACGTTCCTCGGCTTTGAATTCGACGGGCGCACATACGCCTTCCGATCCTTGCCGTTCGGCCTCGCCACAGCACCATTCGTCTTCACGCAGCTCATCAAGCAATTAGCTCGGCGATGGCGGGAGCAGAGAGACCTTGAGCCCGACTTCACCCCAGATGGATTCTGGTACTCCAACACCATACATGCGGCAGAGAGAAAATGAGCGTTAGCAGACATCAGACAAGAAAGACAAGTGCCAGCAAGCGTCCCTTCCCAAATATCACCTGCAGTAGCAGCAGCAAGACCCAGCCGAGTACCATCACCAGCAATCCGAGGACCACCAACCGAAGCAGATCAACTTATGCCCATCACACGAGAAGTCTGCCGAGGTCTCGCCACGGTCGTCGCGTTCTTCTCCAACACCGACATGTACCAACGCTCGCCCGGCCATCGCGCCTCCGACGACATCTGGCACCAACGCCTTGGGCATCCTGCAAACAGCACGGTACTACAAACCATCCAAGCCGAAGTGTTAGAACGAAACGCTCTTCTTACGACGAGCGGCCAAGAACTTCGACGACCTCGCGCACGGTGCTTCACGTGCCCCGAAGCAGATCTTCCCCACCAACCTTTTCCATCACATCACAATCCAACTGCACCTGCATACGCACCGATGGAAAAAGTTTACAGCGACATCTTAAACATGCCTCGAGACGATACTGAAGCCGACTTCAACTATGTCATCACGTTCATCGATGCAGCAACAAGATATGTCTGGCACTACAACCTCAAAACACGCGATCAAGCTTTCGAAGCCTTCACGACATGGCTCCCCATCGCTGAACGAGAATCAGGAACGAAGCTCAAGAGCTTCCAGTCAGACGGCGCACTCGAATACTAGTCACAACGCTTCAGGAACTACTTGGCGGAAAGAGGAATCAGACGACTGGTGTCTCTGCCCTACGCTCACCAGCAGCAGGGGGTCGCAGAAAGAATGAAACGGACCTTGCAAACAACGATGCGGAAGCTGCTCCTAGGGATGAGACTGCCCAACGCACTGTGGCCAGACGCGATGACCCATGCAGTCCACCTGCACAATTTGTTATCCTCGTCCTCGCTTCCCAACAACGCATCACCGCACCTGCTGTGGACATGAAAAAGGGGCAGCACAAAATTACTTCGGGTTTTCGGCTGCATGGTACAGTACAGACCCCACACAGCCCAAGCAGGACGTTTCACTCAACGAGCAAGGTGGGGACTACACCTCGTCATCGCCAAACATTTCCAAGCATGGAAACTCCTCGACATTCAAGACAAAAACACCATGGCATCACGTGATGTGATCTTCTACGAACGACTGACACTGCAGCATTACCTGGACAACGTCGCCAACACAGACGACCCCACCGACGGCTTCGCGGGCCTTCGTTCCTTCGCTGACCGTGCTGCCGAGGCTGACGCAGCAGAAGAAGACATACCTGGAGCTTTGGAAGCTGCCGGACCACTCCCTTACTATTCCGTGCCTGTACCACTCGACGAAGACAGTCCCCTCGATAGCAACAACCTCGACACCCTCTACCACTTCGCTGACCAAGGTTACGTTACACCTCACCCGGTCGACACAAATGTCTCAGAACGCATCGGCCCGAACTTCTTACCTGATCCAGAAGATGGTGACGAAGCAGCCTATTCGGGGAATGAAAATTCCCCTCGACACACACCCACGGGACTGCAGATACTCGGCTTATGGGTCTCCGTCCAGCATCCGCCGCCGCCATCTCCGCGCGAGCCAACGACTCTGTCGCAGGCTCTGGGGGGGAACACGAGGCGAAATGGAAGGAGGCAATGGAAAAAGAACTGAAAGCTCTGCAAGACCGAAATACATGGAAGCTGGTACCTGGAATGAACATCAACGGGAAGAACGTTCTCTCGGGAAAATGGGTATACCGCATCAAGACCAATGCGGACGGCTCCATCGAACGATTCAAAGCTCGCTGGGTCGTACGAGGATTCGATCAACGATACGGAACTGACTACACAGAAACATTCGCCCCAGTCTCCCGTCACACCTCCTTGCGCATTCTACTCGCCGTCGCGGCCACGAAGAAACTACCACTGCGCCAGATCGACGTCGCAAATGCCTTCCTGTACGCACCTGTGGACACCGAGATCTTCGTCGAGCAGCCCCACGGATTCATCGACGACCCCACAAAAGTGTGCCAGCTGATAAAATTCCTTTACGGGATCAAGCAAGCCCCGCGGCTTTGGCAGCAACACCTTCACGGTCGCCTCGTCAGAATCGGATTCCTACAGCTGCCGCACGACCAAGGCATTTACCGACTACAGAAAGAAAAGGAATTTATCATACACATCGTCTACGTCGACGACCTGCTCTACATCGGCTCCACTACCGACATCGCCACCTGGTTTGAAAGGGAGCTGAGAAGTGACTTGACACTCACAGTGTCTGACACCGTGACCCAGTACCTGGGTCTAAACGTCGTCGAAGACAACTCGGCGTTCTATCTATACGCTGGAAAGTACGCAGGCATTGTCGCGAAGAAATTCGGACTAACGCCGACTACAGTCACGACTCCCTACCGCTACGGGAACAACAACAACACCTCCGCAAAACTCCCCGCGAAGCAAATCCAGGAGTATCAGCAGAAGCTTGGATGCCAACTGTTCGCAGCAGTAACCTGCCGACCTGACCTATCCTACAGCGCGAGTCAACTGGCGACGCATCTGAAGCAGCCGGAACAAGAAGATCTCGAGGAACTTAATCGAGCACTACTCTACTTCGTCTCTACGCCGACGACCGGACTTACCTACAGTAAAGAAACAACATCGTCCGTACAACTACTCGGATACGTCGACGCCGACCACGCGGGAAACAGGGAAAACCGACGATCGAGAACAGGCTACATCTACCGACTAGAGCCCATCGGGACTATCTCCTGGCAGTCGAGCAAACAGGAACTAATCGCACTATCTTCGGCTGAAGCAGAATATATTGCCCTCTGCACTGCGACCAAGGAAGGACTTTACCTGCGAGAGTTACTTCAGGAAGCAAAGATTGCGACCCTGCCCGTCTTCTCACTCCTCTGCGACAACCAATCTGCGATTAAGATCGCGAACAAGGACGGCTTCGCCAACCGAACCAAGCACATCGCCGTGCGATACTTCTTCGTCAAGGATGAAATCGCGAAGGGGAGACTTCAACTCAGTTTCTGACCTACGACAGAAATGGCCGCAGACTACCTGACGAAGAAACTGGCAAAGGCAAAGTTCGATTACTGCATACTGCTGACCGGGCAGACAAACGTCGCCGGATCTGAACACGTCAGTACTCCAGAAACAAAGGGGAGTGTTGGAAATATCTCAAGGACTTAAGCGTTTCTGAAGTGTAACACCACACTCGAGGAAGGTCGTAACGGGTACGCGAGTCAACGGAGGTTACACGAGGGGATGGACAAAGAACACGAAAGGACTCGAAGGGTCGTAACTGGAGGTTGCGACTGACAGTTACAACTGCAAAGATGGTAACCGAAGCGACAATCGAGTCGCTGTGCGACTCGATAACCGCTCTTTCAACTGTATTCTACAACTGCTTTACTCTCCTACTTTCTATATATTGCTGTATGCTTGTTCCTTTAATCAATCACTTGTTCTCATTTACTAGTACAAGGGTTCAACTACTCAACTTCCGCTGCACTACTCAAGTCTCCTTTTTACTGGGACTTTAGTCTCTGGAAAGATCCTAAGGGCATTTCACAGCCCAACACGTACATTATATACAGGGTCTCAGATATCAGACGAAATCGGTCTGATGGTCTGAAAATGAGACCTGTTTTTTCTCTTTCATCTGATTTTTTTACGGGCTAAATTAATTCGTCTGATCGTCCAGATAAGCCATAAGATTTCGTCTGAAAGTACAGACTAGGTGTAGAATTTCGTCTGAGAATTCAGATAGCGCGGATTTTTTCGTCTGATGCATTCCTCCTCTCCCCAACGCCCCTTCCCCAACCCCCCCCCCTCTCAGAACTAGAAAATGAATTGATGATAGACTTAGAGAGTACATGCACATATACCTAAATGTTGTACCCTCTGGGAGGTTACCCTATACAGTCTATACAAACATAATCAATAAACATGTTTGACACACCCCCTGGACTGCATAGGGGAATGTCATAGACAAGCAGCTCAGGGCGGCACTACTAGTCCAGCCTCTGAGACAAGGGTCTAAAAGACCAGTCAGAAAGAGTACAGACAAGACAAGAACAAGTACAGGGCGGCACTACTAGTCCAACCACTGTGAGAGGACACAAGTCCAGTCTGAGTGTACACACATATATATATAGGACAGTACAAAGTCAAGGCCCGAGTAAGTGAGGGACTACAGGAACCAGACCAAGCTGTACACAGTGCCGCTGATGATCTTTAGGCGCAAGCGCCTTCGTAAAGATATCAGCTGTGTTGGCACCGGAGGCCAAGTGTAATACGCGAGCCTGGCGACGCTGCTGTAGCTCGCGCAGGAGGAAGTACCGCAGCTGAATGTGCTTCGCTCTGCCCTCGAGTCGAGGCTCCTGACACAGGAGGATCATGGCCCTGTTGTCAGCGTACAAGACCGGGGCAGAGCTAGGCCGCTCACCTAAGTCTGTGAGCAAGAAGGTCAGCCAGCGGAGCTCCTGTGCCGCCATGGCACCGGCGTAGATCTCAGCCTCACAGCTGGACTGGGCAACAGACGAGGAGCGGGTAGCTCTCCACGAGACAGCACCTGAGCCAAGGCTAAAGCAGTAGCCCTGGGAAGACCTGAGCGTCTCGGTGTCGTCTGCCCAAGAAGCGTCTGTGTGTCCAGTAAGGACCACTGGCCTGCGTCCGCCTAGCACTAACCCCATGCCCGAAGTACTTGCAAGATAACGCAAAACCCTCTTAGCAGCAGACCAGTGCTGAGGTCGGTGTCTGCCTGTGGCCACGAAACGAGCCAGGATGCTGAGAGGGTATGCGAGATCTGGGCGAGTGCAAGTCATCAGGTACATGAGGCAACCCACTAGCTCAGCGTAAGGACCACTGGGATCTACCGACTCCTCAGGAACTGGAGCAGAGAGTCTGTGGTCCAGAGGAAGAGGGGTGGGCTGTGCGGAGGAGAACTGAAGGCCGAACCTCTGAAGGACCTGGCGCACCAAGTGTGACTGAGTCAGGGTGATGGTGCGCGCGGCTCTGTCCCTGGAGATCTGCAAGCCAAGGTA